CACCTGTGAGGTGGGATGGATTATCTCAATATAGCAGATGTGCCCACTACCACACATTTGGACTGATTTGTGACCACTGTTTGGGAGGGATGGTTATATTGTGTATCTGGAATGAATTTTAGGTCTCTACGTCCATCCCATGGGGAATGGGAGCAGTAACAAAGGTGTTGCATTTATATTTTTGTTGAGTGTATGTCCCTCCATCTATCTTCTTATCATGTGAGTTTCATCTTCCTCCATCTCTTACTCACTTCTACACAGCTGGTTCAGCAGCAGCCTCCTGTAACTGTGAGGTCTGGTTACTAGTTGCTGTTCACGGTGCAGCAGCGCCAACAACAAATATGTTGTTAATTTGACCCATTTTGCTGCATCTATTTTTAAGTTTCTTTTTATTATTTTCTCTTAGCTTTTCAGCTCCACCTTTTACTCACTTCTTCTACACTAAACTTCTTCCACAAGCTGCACCAGTGAATAGAGAAGGGAGGAGAGGGGAGGGGAGGGGCTGATCGCATTTAAGAGATTTAATTGGGCAATACAGTGTCAGTAATAAAAATGAACCAATGGGCCCCCATCAGTGCTTGCACGGCAGCGGCCTTTCAATCCATTGGCCCAAAATGCCAGATGACCAGTCCAGCTTTGCCAGTAGAGCACCTTTGGGATGTGGTAGAACAGGATGTTTTATTACATGTCACATTTAAAATCATCCCACATCCCCCAAGATGGTTAGAACAATCACAGCGCTCACTGGTTCTTCATGCTCATTGAGTCAAACCTTTCTCTAATAATTTTAGCTAGCTGGCTTCTCAGTGCGATTTATCTGCCCTAGCTAGTGCAGCATCTGGATAGGATTAAAAGGAGCCTCAATACTAATAAAACATAGATTTATCTTAGTGTGGTTTATTTATTTGCAGCAGGAACCTCTATCAGGTTGATTTAGATTTGCTTTAGCGATGTAGTTGCTATAACTAACTGGAGCCTATTGGCTCAGATTAACAGTATTTAAGCTAGCTAGTTTAAACTCTGACATTAAAATTTCTGCAATTAAGTGCAAAATATAAATACATTTAAGTTACAGGACTGGTTAATTTACTTGTTTATAACCAACAGAATTTTTTCGTTTAAAAAAAAATGTTGCACTCATTTGGCTTTGATAAACTACAGTTCAGTTATCTGCCAAAAGAAAAGAGAAATACTGAAACTGGAAAAAATGACTGCGGTACAAACTACAACAACAGGGATAGCTTAGACTTATTTCCTACCTTCTCCTAATGTTGTGTCTCCTCAGGTGGGAGCCCTTCACAGAGTTTCCTCAGGAGAGAAGCTCTGTCAACCTAGTAAGCAATGGTGGCTCGCTTTACGCTGTGGGTGGCTTTGCTATGGTTCAGATGGAGAACAAGGAGGTGACTCCCACAGAGGTCACTGATGTCTGGCAGTAAGTCTTATTAAGTTGAGGGACCCAGATTTACAGGCTTTTATTTTTTATATTGCTACTTTGCTCGTTTGGGGAAAATGACCCAATTCTCGCTCTTGTTAGGTATGAGGAAGACAAGAAGCAGTGGAGCGGCATGCTGAGGGAGATGCGCTATGCTGCTGGATCCTCCTGTGTTTCTATGCGCCTCAATGCTGCAAAGATGCCTAAACTGTAGACAGAAGCAGTTTCTTTTTCTTACACATCCCCACCATCAACACCTTCTGTCACCCTCTCCTCCTTAGGCGAGCTACCCCCTGGCCTCCTAATCCTCTCTACTCAGATTTCTGTGCGTCGAGTTGATCTTTGACATTCATTTTTTTCTGAACTAAGATGATTTTTATCTCTACAATAAAACACTTGCTTCTGGACTGCGCCATCCCGACAGTGAATAGGAATCACAATTTAGAGTGATTTCTATTCACTTTTCTAGCTTCCCTTTTGTAAAATAAACATTTGTAAACTTCAGCTTCTTTTACTGCTTTTAAGTGCGTGCGTGAGGGACATTACAGAGAACATCAGCATGTCCAGGGCAGCCAAGGGAAAAAAGACATATATTTGTAGATGCAGATGTGTTATGCTTTGAGGTAATGTCAGGTGTAGACTTGACACTCAGCGTAATAACCTTTAAACACAGGACAAATATTAAGCATGACTGCGGTCAACACTGCATGCTCTAGCGATAGCAGCAGTCAAACATAATGTGAGAATTGTAGGCGTATTTTTGCAGCTTACCCCGACAATGAGTGAAATATATTCACACTGAAAAATAACAGCGTGCATGTTTTTATGTTTACATTATAAAGACTGACACAAAAGGAAGAGGAAATTGCACAAGGTTTAAATCAATATTTCAGTGTGGTCTGTAGCTGATGACTACATGAGGTGGGAAGATGTGTTAAGGCGGCTGCAATCATTAATGCTTGAAGTGAATCATTAACAAAGACAAGCAACCTATTTATAAGTACCGAACTACAACGCTATGAAAAAGTACCCCCCTCCCACTACCTGATTTCTCTCCTTTTTTAAATTTTTGCTTGTTTTTCAGACTTACATGTTTGAGATCACACACACAACCTGAGTAAATGCAAAATCCAGTTTTTAAATAGACATTTTATTTATTAAAAAGAAAACAGGTAGCCAGACCTACCTAATCATATGTGGAAAAAGTGATTGCTGGTTTGGTACTACCTTTAGCAACGAAAACTGCACCCAAGTATTTGTAATGACTGCCAATGAGTCTTTCACGTTGCTGTAGAGGAATTTTGGCCCATTCCTTTATCCACAATTGTTTTAATTCAACCACATTGGAGGGTTTTCATGCATTATCAGCCTATTTAAGATCATGCCAAAGTACCTTAAATGGATCTGACCCTGAATTTGACTAGACCACTCTGAACGCTTAAATTTAGTTCCTTTTTTGAGCCATTCAGAGGTTGTCTTACTACTGCATAACACAAGTGTGATTGAGCTTCTGGGTATGAATTGAAGGCCAGACATTCTCCTTCAGGATTTTCTAGTGAAGTAGAGTCCATGAATTTTATAAGTGGAAAAAAATGGATGGATGGACAGATGGAACGTGTCCAGGTCCTGTCGTGAGGCAGAGAAGAAGCTGCATAGGTCAAATGCACTTGGTTTTAAATCTTGTCTATTTCTAGCAGCACTTGTGAGCTCTTTGAGATGACTAGGAACAAAATGCTTTAATTGCCTCAGGATAGAAGTGCAGAAAACTCAGCCGTTGTGCTTTTGGAAATTGTCCTTATTCACACTTTGCTGCTCCTTTCTCCTGTTTTTATCCTCAGGTAAGTAGTGGTAGCACATCAGGAAGAAGGAACACAAGAAGCCAAGTAGTCAAAAAAATAAAAACACATGTTAGAAAAGTAAAATAGTCTCAGAACCACTGTAAAATATAATATTCGTTTTTTGCTGGACATTACATTTGCTGGACAGAACTAATTATATTACTAGTTACTGATATCTGACTTCTAGAAAATGCTGCATTTTACTGTGAGCAGCAGTTTGTTGATTACAGATGTGCACAACTGAAGCACAGTTCACAACATATAAGTTTTAGTGTGACACTTTTGATTGAAACTTACGGTCGAATTTGTAGAAAGTTAAAGTAAAATGGTAACACACTATTATAATTAAGTGTTCATTCCCTGCTTCTAAACCTTCTTGTTCCTTTAATCAGAAACCGTGTGCTAAATTTAGCTCGGTAGTGCCATGCTGAGGTATTCACATGCTCGTTTCAAGAAATAATAAAGACCTCATTAGGAAGTCTTGAGTTCATTCTTGTAAATGAACACTGGACTGTTTCCTGTGTTGCTAGATCCCCGACATTCCATTCCCTCACCTCACCACCTGAAACCTAAGCTACATAGACAAATTGACCCTTGAGCTTTGTCAGCTTAAGCGTGATACCAGGAAGTATGCACTTCACATAGCTGAAGCTGAAGCACACAACACAGGACTTCAAGTAAAAATATTCTGGACTTTCCCACTTGTGGTGTGTAACAGTGAAAGGAAAGAATAAAAGAGGGTGTGACTGTGGGATGGAAGTGAAAATAGAGACGAGATGCTAAAGGACTGAAGTGCATACTGGTGAGGATACTGGCAGTAGAAGTGAGTAAAAAACCTTTTATATAAGCGAATGTTACCTTTATGCTGAGATGTAACACTGAAATAATAATTTACAGTTTGTAGTTTTTTGCAAAATGTAATCATTTTAATGAGTGCAAGTTCCTGCCTCATGAAAACCAAGTGTTTATGATGTGTAAGTGACACCTCACACATCCCCTGACATCCATAATGAGAACAGATCGTACTGACAGCATTACAGGATGCCATAGGCACTGTCATATACTGAGAGGCTTTCAGAAATCAGACTGTTGAAAAAGAATGATTTTGCTTGCTTCTTTCCCACCGAGTTTCCCTGATTGTTTGTTTCTTTGCTTGTCCTGCTCTCGCCTTCCTTCCATGAGCAGTAATTGCTGCCTGCTGTGATCTGACAGCTGGGGGGAAATGAAATGATTTGCGTGTTGCCTATTGTATTGCTCAGAAAACATATATGTCATGAATACAGTACACAAGAATAGAGGTGTTGTTAAAGAAAAGGCATTTGTTCAATGCGTGCCAATTATATTTAATATATTAATATTTCTGTTTGTTTTTATGTTAAGGCCTGCACTACTCATGTTGTGTTCATTCCCATGTTTCTCACGGTGTGATTTCCAAATTTTAGTGATCAGAAATAGCAGCTATACCAAAAACATCACTAACATTAAATGTGAATATTTGAAGTCTGTTTGAAAACTCTAACCAGCCCTTCTTGTAATATTAATAATTTTGAATAATTAAAAATTAATTAATTTATAGGATTGCTAATTTTGCTACATTGTGTCTCCCCAATTCCTTTTAAATTGCTTCAGTTACATTTTCATAAATGCAGGGGACATTCTATTTTGAGGGGTTTTTTTTAGTTTTCAGTGTGGTTATTAAAATCATTTCTCATTCTCAATAGGACTGAACTATGGCCATCAACCATTCCAACAATTCCAACTGTACCGATTTGGATGAACTGATGAAACACTACTACCTGCCTGTGGCTTATAGTCTCATCTTCATTGTGGGCTTGGTTGGAAATGTAACATCTATCAGCATTTACTTGACAAAGCTGCGTCCCTGGAAGAGCAGCAGCATCATCTTGGTCAACCTGGCGGTGACCGATCTTCTCTACGTCCTCAGCCTGCCGTTCCTGGTCTACTACTACAGCAGATGGGATAAGTGGTCTCTCTGCGGATTCATGTGCCGTGTCGTGCGCGTTGGGTTTCATTTGAACCTTTATGGGAGCATCCTCTTTCTAACATGTCTGGCAGTTTTTCGTTATGTAGTGGTGATTAAACCACTGAGTGCAGCACAGGTACAGCAGAAGCGCTGGGGTATAATTGCCTGCTCAGCTGTTTGGATCATCTCTGCCGCTGAAATAACACCCATGTTGAGCATGATATCAGTGAATGATAACAAGAAGTGCATAGACTTTGCAAGTACTGAACCCGTCGCTACTGTGCGGTTGTACGGCTGGCTACTTACTGCGTTTGGATTTCTACTTCCCCTTGTGGTGGTGTTTATGTGTTACACTGGGATAGTAAAACAGCTGGCAAACGGACCACGCACAACAAGTTTCTGTCGGATGCGAGCACGGCGTGTGACTGTACTGATCCTGGTGGTGTTTGTTGTATGTTTTATGCCATATCACGTCCTGCGTGTGTTGCGGATAGAATCAAGATATCATAACGCGACTTGTCCGGCAGAGAACATCGTGCATGCAGCGTATATCATCTCCCGGCCTCTGGCTGGATTTAACACATTTTTCAACCTGGTGCTCTACACTCTTTCAGGTGATACATTTAGGAGGGCCTTTCTCAACGCTTTCCACTGGGAACGCTGCCTGACCAAAACAAGGTCACTGGTCCACCTGGCCGTCATTAGCAAGGCAAGCAGGGACAAGTCTGCTACATGACTGACAACACCTAACTTTCTTTCTTCAGTAGCTCTGTGACTCATACTGTAGACATGCTGTAATAATATGCACTCATTGTGTCGTCTTTACCGTAGCTTCGTCTTGGGAAACTTTGCAGCAACCCAGAAGTGAAAATAATAAAGACTCAATGTATTAATGACTCAATAGTTAAGACCTTTGTCTACAGTTTTTCTTTCTCTGACTGGAAGTCCCCTGAGCATATTTACCTGACTTACAATGGATTCCTTTGTTTGAAGCCCCAAAAATATTTACTGTGTAGCTATGGACCTTGGAAGAGAGTTTGTATTTCTAAACTCTTTTGTTTGTGATTCAGATTTCCTTACAGAATGCCTGAGCCTCTGACATGCTAATTTTATTCAGATTCTTTCAGCTAGTAAGACAACCCCCTATGAGCAATCAGGTTGAAAAATAAAGCCACAAGATACAATGAGGGCAGCTTCTAGGACAGAACATTGAGATACTAGGAGACTTGCTCACATTGTTTTCCATTTGTGTCTATTTTTAGATTTCATAAGGCAAGCACTGCCTGCTTTGCTCTCCCCAACGAGATGCCACAGTGGTGCCTGAATATAGAGAACTGCTAGATCTCACCTTAAAGTTTCAGAGTATATCAAAAATTGATGGGCAACGTGATAGATAGATATGTGAAACTTTTACAGGCATTATTGCTGTTACAGCTATTTTATACATTTTAAAACATCTACTATAACAACACGCTAAAATTCAAAAAGGAGTTGTAGCTAGCTGAGTCATTTTAGCCTATCATTGTCTGGTTAAATAATCTTAAAATATTATGCTGTCAAACGTATCATATTGCATTAAGCATATTTTATTTTATTGAGTTACACCTCTACTGGAATGCTGAATCGGATTTTTCCCCCATAAGCACCAAAGGCTTTGGCTCATTTGACTAAATTTGATAAAGGAACAAACCTATTTAAAGTTGGATGGATTACCATTTTGTTAAACCTGCTTCACAACATGCTACTTTGTTATTTAAAGCACATTAAAAGACAGCAATCTTTATATCCAAATCTGGTGAAAGTAACAGGAAATATAAATTTCATGTACAGTGCTTGATGTGGCTGTTGAAGGTCTCAGTATGAATAGTGTGAGCAATAATGCTTTTTGACAAGATAAGCAACATTTAAATAAAACAATAACCAAAATAAATAAATGTATTCAGTGTGTGAACTTTTTCTAACAGGAGTCATCAAATATAATTTAGAATCAGCAAATTGACTAGTTTTAATTCACCTCCACCATCTATCTCTAGCACTTTTTTCTTTGAGGTTTCTCTTTGCGTCACATTGGAAATGGTCAGAAACGTTTTAATTGCTGGCCCTAAAAACACTGCATTAGTCATCCTGCTTTGTTGCATTTCCCCAACAGTGCTATAAAACGATTATATAGCCCGACAACACCTCCTCCAGTCATGATCTGTGCTAAGTGCTCACATATCCCAGAGTCTTTCAGAGTTCTCCGTGCAGATGTGTTCACCTTTCCCATGTGCTAGCAAGACAGGCTGTGCAATTTTCTCATTTCTCAAGCCTAGATGCTCTAAGAGCAAGAGCCAAGGACTTGGGACCTTCAAAGAGGCCGATATTACTAAGTCAAACCAAAGCACAAAATTTGTGAGAACACACAAACAATCACCCAGAAGTCCTGGAACAAAGTCATACTGTCAACCCAAAGACATCCTCAACAGAAGCTTTTATATCATTTGTCTATTGCTGCTTCTTCCTGGATACAGCGTATTGTTCTGCTGTTGTTCCCTTTCCTGATTTATATCTGAGATTACATTTACAAAGAAAGCCTAAAATTCGTGATATTATTTGTTGTAAATGTTAAGGAAGCCATCAGTCCTCTGGTTTTGTACGAGGGGGGAAAAAATCCTGCATCACTAACATGTTTTTTGTTTTGTTTTGCTCTCATACAAGCTGTGCAAGTAGAATTGAAGCTACAGCTGGGAATAAAGAGGCTATTTTTGTCTATGGCATTTCCTTTTCTGCCTCCTGACTGATCTTCTCCTCATCCTCATTTGCCTTCTCATAGACAAAACACCTGCATGGAGCAGTCTCCCACATAGTAGACAGGTCTGGCCCAGATCTAGGATCAACCTGGCACTGCTTGCTGACTTCTGGAACGATAAGACGTATGTCATCCAGATATGGACCAGGCCTGGCATAGATGGCGCTGTCTATGTCATGGCATGCCATATCTGTCTTGATTGTGGTTTGGGTTATGTGGCCCAGGCTCATAGAAAACAGGTCTTCCCTGCAACCGGCATCAAGCTAGCACCTCTGACTGACTGATGTTATGGCGGGGTGTAAGTCAACCAGATGTGGGCCAGGTCTGGCAATGATGGCACTATTTATGTTCCTATTTTAGTTAGAAAACCCAAATGCCATGTTGCAATACTATACTGCTATGGTAGCCAACATTTCAAATGCAGGTTTGACAGGTTTGTGAGGGTACACTTTATCCAAAACCTAGTGACGGTTTACTCATCTTTGCCAGTGGGTGGCTGTAGCTCAGGTCACCTACTGATCGGAGGGTTAGTGGTTAGACCCCTGGCTCCTCCAGTCTGCATGTCAAGAGTGTGAATGTGTATGAATGTAGTTAGGAAGCACTCAGTTTAGAGAAAGTGTGTGATTGGGTGAATGTGGCATGTTGTATAGAGCACTTTGAGTAATATGGGAGAGTAGAAAAGCGTTATCTAAGAATTAGTCCATTCACTGTCTGAACAGAGTTTCGTCATGTTACTTTTGCACTATTATGTTCCGGCACATGTTGTTATTACATGGCTTGATTAAGTTACACATTAGGCTGACATCTGGGGTCAGAGCTGAAACTGTTCTGGGCCAGCACAGGGTCAGCAGTGTGTCTGCAACTGACCCGTGGCTGCACACAACTTACATATTGCCCACATACCACAAAGAATGACGGCCCTTTGGTATCCCAGATCTGGCTTTGCCAGAGGTAATCCACACATGGGCCAGCACAGGACCACCAGCGTGTCTGCAAATGGCCTTGTGCTGGCCTATGTGTGGGCTACATCTGGCAAAGCCAGATCTGGGCCACCAAAGGGGCGTCATTCTTTGCGGTATGTGGCCATGTGTAAGCAAATTGTGTGGGCCAGATCCGGGCCATACCAATTTTGCTATGTGGGCTACTGCAGTGTAAATGGAACTTCAGCAGAGCAACATGTTTGTCAAATTAGGGAGGAAAATGTGTTCAGCAAGCTGCTGGGTTTTTGTTACTTTGTGCTAAGGCGGAGTCATGGTCAATTGAACTTTAAATGATCAATCTGGAAGCAAAAAGCCCCATAATCAATGGCCTAATGGTGGAAATACCAATGTTCTGTCTCTGTGATGTAAGAGTTCTGAAATTGGCTCTGACAGCCTGTCTGTCAGGCCAACAGCTCTCCTCCTCTCCTTGAGAAAAAGCTTCATCAGTGTGCGTCACTGTATTTGTGCGTGCATGGTGGTGGAAGAAGTCGGCACACTGAGGGAAGATTTCAGATTTTTATGGTGAGAACATGCTGTGAAAAAAAGGAGCAAGGCAAGAACACTTGCATGTACACATGCATAACAGAGAGTCCATCAGGTACAAATTAACATCACTGGCTGCTGCATATTTTTATTGAACACATTTCCTGCGAGAAATTGCTTCGACTGTTTCTCTTATATTGCAGCTTAATCAGTCGGAAAGAAGAAAACACACTGCAGACTATTGCCAGGTTTGTGCTTTGATATTCCTACGAAGCCAAACACCACAGATTAACTACAAGATTTCACTGTTCAACACAGCGCAAGATCACACACATGACACTGAGGATCCTTCACCACAAGGCAGTCACCAGTTTGAAATTTACTAAAATGGGCCTCCTTAATGACACTTGTTTTTCACTTAGTTCTTCTAACGATGGTTTAAGAAACATTTTTGCTGCTTTGAGAACACTCAGAGCACTTGCTAATAAATCAATCAATCAATTTCGCAACCGCAGTGCCAAAAATAGCCATAAGAAAAAAATGTAAATACAAAATGTCGCCATGAGAAATACATCCATCATAAATATTAAGACACCATTCGGCAGTCTGACAAAGCGCTATGAGGCTGGGAGGGCAGGAGGTTTTGGCAGATTCACAGCAGAGGCGAGATGGAGGAAGACAGAGGGAGGGGAGTAAAGCACAATGAATCAACCAGCCGTCAGTCACCGATGAAGTGTTTGCAGTTCCCGTGTTCTCCTCACCACCGCACGACCTGGCTGCCATAGTCCTCTGTGGTGGCTACCTCCTCTAGCACCTTCACCTCCACCTCCTCCTCTTCCACCTCCTCTGCTCCTCCTCCTCCTATTCCCAGTCTCCAGAGTTCAGCCAAATAGGTCCTGTGCAGCCGCTGTCTCTGCTGCCTCTCCTGCCGTCTCCTGAGCCGCTCCTCCTGGTGTTGCCTCTGGCGGTTATACTGGTAGCGCCGCAGGAACAGCTCCTTGGCATACTCGTAAAGCTCCATGTCGAGGGCGTTGAGCCCTTCGATGCGCCACCGCACCTTCTCGCTGATTCCCACGCTAGCAGCTCGCGTGCTGTTGATCTGCGTGAAGGGCCGGATGAAACGCAGGCCAAACGTCCGTTCAAACAGATACTGCGTCTTGCGCTGAAACTCCGTCAGGCCAAAGAAGGCCATGTTGCGTAGGTTGGACTTGGCGCTTGCGAGCAGCACGCGGCCTCTCTCCAGCTCGCTCATGGACGACATGTTGTAGCATCCCACCAGGCTCAGGTCTGCCAGCATGCGGACTTGCCGGTTGTTAGCAAGGTTCGAAGGGCAGTTCATGAAGTCAGGAAGGGGCACCCCTGTCCAGTCTTCACCGCTGTAACAGGCAGGAAGCTCATCCTGAGTGGGAGGGCGACCATCACACATGTGGAGGGCAGTTTTCCAGGTAGCCCCACGCTGCACGTGCTTCCACTCACTGAGGTAGC